TGTTTCTTAACAAGCAAGAATCAAGATTTTGTAATGGTGTTTTTAATATTACCATTGTTTCATCAAGATCTGAGACAATCATTAGTCGTGGAGGAGATGTTAGTCGCTCCATGATTACAAATTCAGTGTCCTGAAAATTTACAAAAGCAAGAAAATTTATGGTTTTTCTTGAAGAGAAAGCAAGAATATTTAGATCATTGAGAGCTTTTCAAGATTAGGGTTTCTATATGTCAAGATTAGATCAAATCTTGATTAAGATTTCTACATTTGGTTCTTTAATAACTAAAACATCACAATACATTTTCGATTCATAATCTAAAACTCTCACGATCAGATCTTGATTAAGATTTGAGATCGAGACAAACCTGAGGAATGTGAAAGCAAGATTTGTTGTGTAAGAAGATAAATCGAAGAAGAAGCTTTGCTTGAGAGGAATTTGTGAGAGAGAAGTGCAAATGCAACGCAGAGCGGGGAAGAACAAGTCAACTTTCTCCTAACAATTAAATTAAATTTTTGTTTTGTTGTATTCCACCCAAATATTATTGTTAATTTGTTTCTCTTTTTGTTTTTCCACATTTGCGTACTTACTTTACTTGATAATATGATATTCAATTTAAGAAGATTATGTTATTTCTATTGTTTGGAATCAAATTTCTTACTCTTTTCCAACTGACCTAAAGCAACAAAAATATTTGAACAAAAAAGGAACAATTACGGCATGAAATAACTTGCGATACCGTTTTTGGTATCACTGATTATTTCCGTTTGTAAAATCGATATATCTAATACAAAATTTTTTTTTGATATATCTCTTAACCATCAAACTCGATGTAAAGAAAATTATATAATAATAAATGTTGAAAATCTTAAAATAACTAAACATTTTATTTTAGAAATTTAGAATTATATGGTTAAAGAAACCATTTAAATTGATTAAAAGTAAACAAAATGTAAAACTATTCGTTATTTCAATAAAATTATTTGTTCAAACATTAAACCATTTAAAACTATAAACTAAATGATGGCCTACCTAATTGGTGTCGACTTAAATCATACGTAATAAGTTAGGAAGGCAATGTCATGTTATGTTTTCACCGTCAAAAGCAGAAGGGTACATGCACATTTGGGAAGAATTGTGATTCAAACATTCTCTCAAAACTCAGAACCAAAATATAGCCTAATCCAAATTCAGCCGTTTTCTAAAGAGATCGACCCAATGTCCAATCATTTTGATGTCACAAATCCGCGTTAAAGCTTGACAACAAGTTCATATCTTTTTTACATTTTAATCGTTTTAATTATTTTTTTTTATAGGAAGTGATGACATTGTATACTATTAATATTACTATATCTTTTTTTTTTGAGAAATTTAAAAAAATGTCACTTTACAAAAATGCCACACTTTTGAAATCTTTACAAAAATACCACTTTTTCAAAAATTTTTTTTTTATATTATTTATGTTTGGGTTAATTATGTTCTATTAGGGTTTAGTTTTGAGTGTTTAGGGGGATTTAGGTGTCAAAACATTTTTTAGGGTTTAGAATTTTAAGATATAGGCTTTATAAATCTATAATTAGT